CCAGTCTCTAACAGAAACTTTCACCTGGGATTTCGCCTACACTTTCTAAAGGGGCGCCTCATTTTACACATAATCGAATGAAGCCTTTTATTTGCCTGATATGGCCACGGTCTTCCTTATCGGGGTCTCCCTTTGGGCTGACGGACTTCCTTCAGTGTTGGCATCAGGAGGCTCCTGTCGGCGTGGCAGGGCCTCCTGAAATTTCAGCAAGGAGGCGCCACCCGCGGCAAATGACCAGGCGGCTGCCATCGTTCCAGCTTGGTGGCGCTAGCACCGACGTTCCTCATTGTTCTCGGTTTCTCTAGTCCTCACACTCGCACCGTGACACTTCCACGGTCATGCAGGCTTTCGCACCACGTAGAATCCTCGCTTATGTCGCACCACGTGGGCTCACCGGTTTTCGCAAGTACAGAGCCTCGACGCCAAGTGGTCAGATATATTATTTTACCGCCGTGAAAAAATGACAGCCATCACCTGCGATTGTGTACTCCTTATTTGCGTGCACGATCAGTTACAAGAGTCGAGAAACTTGCGAACAGAAATAACGTCCATTTCTCTCTTCAACTTGGCCTCGCACTCATCTGACCCTCACCCCCTCTCCCACCCTTCTCTTCTGAGCGTCACACTGCCATGTCAAGTCCGGCGCGGCAGCCCCTATCAGCCCGCCCGCTGGTTATCTCGGCGACGGCCGGCACGCGCTCTCTCCGCCCATCCGGCTGTGCTGCTCTCGGAAATGCCCGAATTCGGGTCAGCCGGACCGACGCCGGGCCCGGCGGCCGCGGTGGGGCCGTCACCTTGCACGGCGCAGCAGCGTCCCGCGGGCGGGCGTCGGCCGCCGGCGTTTGGCCGCAATCTTCTCTCGTCCTGTTCGAGGCAACCAAAGGTCCGACGCCTGTCCTGACGAGCTTTTTCAGGAAGCAGCTCCTGAGTGTTGCATCTCGCTCGGTACGCAGTTGGTCCGACGAATTTTGCGTGTCAAGGATAACGTTTCACTTCCCGGATCTCACGAGCCTTAATTACAATTAACAAGCTTGAATTCCAGTTCCACTTTAGCAGCCTTGGAGGTCATACAGCATCATATCCTTACATGGCCATACCAGCATCAGCCCAGCGAAAATTGGGGCGATGCAAAGTGGAAGTGATCTGACATTGCCTTCGTGTAAATGGGCGGCTCCTGCAGTTTCAGGAAGTCAAAACGATGTACCCCAAATCTTCAGCACTTTGAGTCATCGGCTCGAATGAATGCGCCAACACCAGACCAGCTTTGTACGCCAGTGTGCTCGAGACGTCACATTAGTCTGACATGCCGTTGAGTGTCTTCTCTGACTTTCTCACCTTGGCTGCTTTGAATTCCGCCCGTGGAATTTAACCGTAAATTTCGCCTCCTCCGCCCAAAGACGGGCGGCATAAAACCTGTCCGAACTCCGAAACGCCCGTCAGTGTGATCTGCATTTATACATTTGATTTGGCATGCCGACTGGAACCGTCCGATTTCGTTTAAAACTATTGCTAGATATGTCTCTCAGCGTTCCTCGTCAGTGCCAAAGGTTGTGGCTATGTAGTGTGAATCAGAAGCCACAAAAGCAGCAGTGTATTTTTTACTTCTCTAAACAACGGTCACCGAGATATAACTGGAGTATTTTCGTAAGGTTACGCTGCATGCTTATCTTTGCCGGTCTTCAGCTTGGGGCCAAATGTTCCGGCTCCAAAACTTGCATAGGCGTGAGCTAGCCATGATGCGAAGACAAACTTTTGACAGTCCCGCAGTCCCGCATTTTTTACATTTTGAATAACCTTCTCGGAATCTTGATAATGCGTTCGTAGTTTTACTGTTTCTACGATGTACCACAGACCCGTCCGACAGATCATATTTTAGGTAGGGCGAGCGTTTCATCAAGCCCAGATGTTCTTCAGGCCGGATCAGCGGCTTCGGTTGCCATGGGAAGATGTGTATCATAGCAATGTTGTAATCTTTGTCATCAAAGATATGGCGGTAGCTCCAACGACACAGCACGCGTTCTTCCCCTCCCCCTCCCACCAGTGCACAACACAAGGGATACGGTACACTGCGACGCACCCCAAAAATCCTTATCGCGACGTGCTGGGCCCCAAAGGAATGGTTATCTGTGAAATCAACAGGCCTTATCGCCTATCGAACCATCGAACCATAATGCGCGTCATCAGCCGCGCGTGATGCGGGGGCGGCACGTGGACACGATAGTGATCCTTGCTCAGCTCCGTTATTTTCTAGCCTAATGACATCAGAGTCTCAGATCTCTGCGGTGTCCTTCAGTGAGGATCCACCATCCCTGACCAAATGTCCGTAGCAAATCGCACCGTTGCCGTTGATATGAATACGGGGATGCAGTGGCGCTGGCAGAATTTGTGACGGTGGTCTAGCATGATTTGCAACGAGGGGGCTAATTTTTGCGGATGAGTCCCAGCCTCATGAATAGCCTCTACGCAATGCGAACAGAGTAACAGACACCCCGCAAACGCTAAAAGGCACAACACTTCGTGCATCAAAGAGCTGTAGACATTAGTTTGCCTTTGCGTACCGTACACATTCACTCTGCTATCCGGCTGTCTTGTTACTGAGCTACCGCTGCTGGACATTACGTGTCGGTGCCTATGGAGGTGTCTGTTAGATTTAAAATCAAAATAGTTTCTCTGATCACCAGGCGCCAGAACTACATTCGGAAGTGTCGCGGCGAAAAGCTGCGCTCAAACCAGAATCTGGCTGCGCCAGTGCAAGGAAGATGGCGGCGATATCTAGATTTGCTACAAAACATAGGGTAGCACTGCTTGTAGCACTGATTCAGCACTGATTGGCTAATAACTGATTGTTCGCAAGCAGCGACTTCCTAGCTAAATATTTCAGAATTCAGAATTTTGTTCAAGAATTTTCAAGCTCAGATTTCTCAAGCTCAGATTTTTCAAGCTCAGAATTACCCATTCACTTAAATAATGTTTACCTTTTAGGGTTAAACTATAGTTTTTTGTTATATTTTGTTACGCCCATGTAATGCACAGAACTTAACTGGGCTTGAGTAACAAAGCCTTTTGGTATGCCAGATGGTAAGGTATATCGTGGAAAAAAGGAGACGAAATGTAACGAAATGACGAGGCGAAAATGTAAAAAATGGAAACCCTTTAAATGCTAGCAGTTGGTGAGTGCGCCATGGTGAGTTCAAAATCACGTAAGTTATATCAACTCTCGATTATCTGATTTCATATTATGTACCATTAAACAGGGCCTGCGGCATGACCTCGAAAACGCCGAAGGCAATGCATCCAACCCGGTGGCCGTTGCCGGGACAGGTCTGGGAATGACACGAATTTCAACAGCCCGATTTTACCTTGGAACTCCATTCTGAGATTATTCCACATTACGAGGGTGTGCTGCGCTCGTCGGTCTGTGGTGGAATGCCCTGTCTGGTCACGGTCTCCGCTTGGGTGTCCGGATGTTACATGATTCAAATTGTGTGGGAACAAAGCGTTGTCTGTCTGTTTGTCTGCATCCGACTTTGTCAGCGCCAAAGTCGGATGCCGTGATTTAGCTATACACAAATATTGTTCCAAACAGCAAGGAAATAGAAAAGCTCCTAGTCCAAGGGGGGGGGGGGGCTGTAGCGGGTGCATCCAATCACTGGAATATATCGCCACACAGATGTGACGTTGGCGCGTCGGCTGGTGTCACCATAGCGCTGCAGTATATACCCTCATCAGATAACTGCATTTTCAGAGTGCTGTTCTGGTCATGGGTGGAGAGCACGGTATGCAGGTATGGGTGCGGCCATCTATAGCCTGACCTCAACGTCGTGCCATTCAAGACGCTCGTTTCTGCAGGTTCGTCACTCGAACTTATCGGAACACTTTCCGGCCCTGATTCTGATATGTCCATCGCTACACGGAAACGAGCTAAAACTGTCCATATTCGTGGTGTGCTGCGGCATAACCTGAGGGCTCCGCATTTCACTGCACTGCTATTCAAACCCCGTAAGTTTTTGATACCCCTGCAGTGGTTGGAAGATGGCGAGATCCGTGACTAACGTAAAATGTTAAAAGCAGGTTGGTGTGCTAGGGCGAATGCATATGGATTTATCTGGCTAGTTTGTCGCCGACAGTGTACATAGTACGCATATCGAAATTCCCCACCAGGTGGCGGGTAAACGGCTGAGTGTCATGCATGCTGTAATGCAGGCTGTAGAGGTACTTCTGGGGACCGGTCTGCAACATGTGTAGAAACCCGTGTTTCGCCTCTAGCATCAAAACGGTAGTGCCGCGCTTGTTACAACTGGTCTGTATTTACACTCACAAGGACCACGGCATAGTCAGATCACTCCACAGTTCGCTCCTGATGTCATGCGCCTGCCTTAGCCAACACTTGACCTTCCCACACAGCCTGGACATGCCAACTGGACACCAACAACACCCACTTAAAACCTAGCTTATCATCATCTTAGTCCTTCGCACAAACTTCCCGTAAAACACCCACGTAACTCGCTACCACTTTACCCCCCCCCCCCCCCCTGCGACCTTTTCTTTCTTTTAACCTCTTAGATGTTTCAGTCTCTTGACCCCAAAGCGAGATTTTTCCGTTCTCGTGAGCAATTAAAGTAGCGTGCGTCAAACTTAAAAGGCGCCAACGGCGCGCCAGGAGCCCTCCCAAGCTTTCGCCACCCGCTGGGCGCGCATCACGCACGGCGCCCAGCACACGATGAGCAACCGCCGCCGTGGTCCCCGGCTCACCGTCTCACACAAACGGGGCCGGCCAATGCCATGAAAATAACGCCGAGGAGCTGGTTCTGGCAGGACAAGTTCACTATTGACACGTCCTATTCAACACCGAGTCATCGCTGTGCACAACGCTGAATTCGCACGATGATAGTGATCAGGGGCCAACGGAAGCCATCGCCGCGAGAGATCCTCCGCATCACCGCGCGTACACAGCACATCGCGAGTTCGCAACACTTTAAGTGCTGTCAAAGCAAAGGAAATGACACATAGGGGACAAGTTTATTAACTGTATTATTCACGTATTTATAACAAAATAAAAATACAGCAGTTAGGCCTTCAGCGCAGCAAGACGTCGCAGCGGTCTTCCAGGCACTTATCTCACGCCGCGCCACTACGCGAAGCAATCATGGAGGCGGGAAATGCGCGGTCGGAATCACCGGGCGCCTCCCATCTTCTGTATCAGCTCGTCACATATGGCCGTCACCTCTTGGTTCTCGCGCTCGAGCTTGGTGTTGCGGTTCTCCAGGAGCTGGAGCTTGGTGGTCAGACGCAGCAGCTCCGTCTCGTGACTCTTCTCCGCCAGCTCCATGTCCTCGCGCAACCTGCGACCACGGGCGCGGACCCTGTCAGTCTCCCGGACACGCACCGCCCCCCCCCCCCCTCACACACACACACACACTCACCACCGGACCAACCGCGGCGGGAGGTCCGGCGCCGAGCAGGCCAGCCGCCAGGCGCCGCCACTGTACGGGCGGCGCGCCGGGCCCCTCAATGGTAGGCAGCGCTGCGGCGGTGGCGCGCAACGAGCCCAAGGCCCACCCATTACCACGGGCCGCGCGTGCCAACTCATTGATGTCACTGCAGGGACCAACGGCTCCAGCGCGCACCATGCCTGGCGGGGGGCGTGCCACACACGCCACGCTAGCGTGAAGCTTTCCCACCCGAGACAAATACCGGTACGGTAAATCAAGTCGACGAGCGAAGAAAAACACGAATGGTGAGGCAAAAATCCTCCGTTGGTGGTGCACCAGCGAGCAGAGACAACAATGAACATACACATCGGGAGTCGACCGGGCGGGGAGGGCGCAGGCAGAGCGGCCGGGCGGCGGGGAGGCGCGGAGCAGCTGGCGTTGGAGAGGAGGGCAGGGCGACCAGGCGGCGAGGAGGCATGGAGCGGCTAAGGGGCACGCGGGCTCACCTCTGCAGCGTGTCCTCGGCGTACTTCTGCAGCATGTCGTGGCGCTGCCTCTCTCGCGACACCTCGTCCAGCGCCGACTGCCACGACTTCGAGATGGTCTCGCTCCGCTGCCTGTTCTCCTGCATCAGACTCTTGCTCTTCTCGTACTTGCTGCGGACGGCGAGAGGAGCGAGGTCACACGGCGCCCTCGTACAGGCGGTGGAGGGGACACGGTATCGCCTGGACGGCGGTGGCCGGCGCCACAGCGTTCCGTGACGCCAAACCACGCAGGCCTCGTCTGCTCATTGCGTGTACAATGGTGAGAAACGGAATCGCAACCCTAAACAGCATCTGCTTTCTAAATCAGCGGGGAGCCGCCGTGGGACACTCCGCGAGGAAGGCGTACGTTTCCAAGCATGGCACGTGCGAGAAGCCCCATAGCGGCTCTCGGCGATGTGAACTAAACGGCTGACAACAAGCGGCAATCCGGCCAGCGGCAGCGGTGACAAGGAGCAGAGATGATGATTTGGGCTTTAGGGCACACCGACTACGTTGGTCATACGACACATTGAGCAGAGAGCAGAGGCCGCCAGCGAGCCGGGCGGCGAGGTCTGCCGGGCCGGCCACCCACCGGTGCAAGTCGGCGAACATTGACTCGACGTTGGCCACCTCCTGACGGGCCTCGTCACGCTCGGCGCTGACGGCGCGCACGGCCGCGTCCGTCTGCTCCTTCTCGATCGCCAGCCGCGCTAGCGCCTTGGTGTGCAGCTCCACCACCTGGCGGCCACGCGAGGAACTGTAGCATACTGGCGGCCGCCGCGTTCCCGTCATGCCGTCCGGCGGCCCAACACGGCGGCGCGTACAACAGGGTACTACAGGGTACACGGCGCTTACAACGGGGTACTGATGATCGGGTACAGCCAGCGCAGGATTGGTGTTTGGTAACGCACGCAGCACTCTACTGGGATGTTTCACCTGGACGGAAAGGAATGTCTAGGGTAACCCTTTGACGTGCGACGAAGTCAGAATGTGCAGTGTTTCTTTTAAGCGCACCGTTCGATCATTTGGGCCAAACACAGCTCAACATTTATTCCGCTTTACAACCTCAGGCCATCCGTGAATAGCACTGATATGTGAATTAGCCGTTTCCTGCCCACGTGATAAAACGCAATTTGATTAAAAATGGTTAATTTCCAGCTTCCTGTATCAAACTGACTAATGGCAGCATGCGGCCTTCAACCGACTGCCATCTGGCGGCAGCATACACAACCCCAGTGGGCGGAGCCGGATTGTCCGGTGTTCACAGCTCCATCCACACCTTACCTTCTCGGGAGGAGCACACAATTCTCGAGGACACGGTTGTCAGCCAGAGACATACGTGACCGACTAATGGGATAGCACACGCACCAGGAGACGCCGGTGAAGGTCGCAACCACGCCAGCCGACCCAGAAAGCCTGCCGCACAATCGCAGCCCAACGACAAAGAAGCGTGCCGACTGATTACGCGGCTAACAGCGTGAACGGTCCGCCGTCGGATGAGCCAGTTCTTGCACGACCTCAGCCTCCCCTCACAACTGGCGCGGCAAAACCAGCGACACTCAGCCAGCCGACAAAAACAGGCCCACCAGCGCCCATCGTGAGCGCAGAGGCAGTGCCAGGTAAAGCACGACTTCACGCGTCACGCTACGGCACACGGACCGTCACGGCTGACACCGTCTGACGGACCGGCACCAGTCGAGGTACGCTGACACCGTCTGACGGACCGGCACCAGGCCGAGGTACACTGACACCGTCTGACGGACCGGCACCAGTCGAGGTACGCTGACACCGTCTGACGGACCGGCACCAGGCCGAGGTACATTGACACCGTCTGACGGACCGGCACCAGTCGAGGTACGCTGACACCGTCTGACGGACCGGCACCAGGCCAAGACACGGTGATGCGTTTGACGGACCGTCACGGCTGTGGCGGCGGACGGACCGGCACCAGGCCGAGGCACAGTGACGCCGTCTGACGGACCGGCACCAGCCGAGGTACACTGACACCGTCTGACAGACCGACACCAGTCAAGGCACACTGACACTATCTGACGGACCGACACCAGTCAAGGCACAATGACACTATCTGACGGACCGGCACCAGCTGAGGTACAATGACACCGTCTGACGGACCGGCACCAGCCGAGGTACACTGACACCGTCTGACGGACCGGCACCAGCCGAGGTACACCGAGACCGGCGGCGATGGCGCCAAGCCGTCGCCGCCCGATACACGGCAGCACTTGACCGGGTGGGATGAGGGGTCGGGGCTGGGGAGCGAGAGAGGATAGACCTGTGACGTCCGGCGCCTGCTTGGCTATGGGACGGGCGCCGCCGCCGCCACCACCGGCGGAACTGAACGACACTACCCGGCGACGGAGCAGCGGTCGGAGAAAGCACACGGGAGAACCGGCACACGTGGATCTGTTTCAGGGAGTACCACAAAATGGGAGAATTATTGGGCAAGAAACGGTCGAAAACGTGATTTCCACAGCGACGCACATTGGCACGTTCTTCCTATGTGGGGATCGATCTTGTTGTTGATTGGAGTTTTAGGGCGCGCCGACTACTGTGGTCATTTTGCGTCCATAACAGCCGGGATCGATCTTGACATTTCATATCGCGAAACCCATCACTGTCATCGTGTGCCCCCCCCCCCCCCCCCCACCCGAACAAACTCGGAACGTCCGCCTAACTCGACCGGTGCCCAATAAGTCAGGTGATGCGATCCCCATACTGGCCAGCCTTCATCAGCCTTCGCCGCTGGCACATACCCTGGAGAGTTTCAACTGCTGCTGCTTGTGTTCCGCATCCCGCTGCTTCGGCTTCGCCAACGCCTCCCGCATTGTCGCCAGCTCCTTCTCGCGCTTGAGAAGCTGGAAGATAGCGAGCGGTCAGCGTCAGCGGCTAGCAGGGTGACGAGGCCACAGCGAGGGTGGGATGTTCCACGGCGGAACGGGGACCACCGGCACCTCGACGATCGAAAAGCCACGCAAGCCGTTCGTGTCATGTGTGAGGAACACAGCCGGGTAAAGTTTAACTATCGGCCCAGTTACTGGCTAACTGCAATTTCGCGAGGCAGACCGTTAGACACATAGAACGGTGGAGATGTCGCCAGCCGTGAGACTTTCCCTCTTCAACTGGCTGACATTTCGGTCAGCCAAGCAGGTCCTAAGACCTTTCATTAGCATAACCGCGTGACGTTAATACTCCCGGATCAGTGAATGAAATGACGTGGACCTACGCGTCCACAGGTAGGGTTTTGACGTCCGTCCCAACCGAAAGGAATGCCTTGGCGTCAGCGCTGTAACTTGACAGTTGACCGTGACCCTGTATGACCCCGCCCTCTCCCGACCGCACCTCTGCGCGGTAGTAGAACTCCTGCTTCTTGAGCGCCTGCCCATCGGCCGCTGACACGTGGTTGTTGTCGGCGGCCGTCGTGGCCAGCGCCGTCTCCGGAGCGGGCTCGGGCTCGGGCTCCGCGGGCTGTGCGGCGTCCGGGGTCGGCTCGGCCGCCTCCTTGGCTGGAGAGAAGGCGATCAGGTCGGCCTTGACGGTGGACAGCTGGCGCGGCACCGCCGGCGGCGGCTCCTCCTGCTGGGTGCTGCCGGTGGGGAACAGAGCGTCAGGGGAGCCGTGCCGGCCCGTCAGCCAGCTGGTCAGTGTCAGACGACAAGTCCCGCTCCCGCCACCAGCGCACGGCATTTACTGGATCTAACGCGTGGCGCCTCCTTGACGACCATATGCAACAGGGACGAACGCGTGGGCGCCGCCATCAATTCATACAGACCGCGCCGCCATCCAGACAGCCGACATCTGTGGCATCTGACGCCCACGACAGATCGCGCCGCCCACCACAGATCAGCTACATCGTGACTTGAAAAACAGCACCAAGTCTCCTCTAAACTCCGTGCAGCGCAGCACGCAGGGCTGGTGGACGTTCTCAAAGCCACAGCAAAACGATCGCGGGCGATATCGATGCGCCCGCCTGGCCGGCACGGCAGCACAGCCAGCGCCTTTGTTGGCCAGCGGCCACTGCTATCGATCGGCCGGACTGCCCGCCTCGGCGCCGTCGGACTGCACCGGGGTCAACTCTGACGGCAGCCCAGCGCGCCACGGACTGCACCGGGGTCAACTCTGACGGCAGCCCAGCGCGCCACGGACTGCACCGGGGTCAACTCTGACGGCAGCCCAGCGCGCCACGGACTGCACCGGGGTCAACTCTGACGGCAGCCCAGCGCGCCACGGACTGCACCGGGGTCAACTCTGACGGCAGCCCAGCGCGCCACGGACTGCACCAGGGTCAACTCTGACGGCAGCCCAGCGCGCCACGGACTGCACCGGGGTCAACTCTGACGGCAGCCCGGCGTGCCACGGACTGCACCAGGGGCAGCTCTCGACGGCAGCCCAGCGCGCCACGGACTGCACCAGGGGCAGCTCTCGACGGCAGCCCAGCGCGTGGCGGACTGCACCAGGGGCAACTCTGACGGCAGCCCAGCGCGCCACGGACTGCACCAGGGTCAACTCTGACGGCAGCCCAGCGCGCCACGGACTGCACCAGGGTCAACTCTCGACGGCAGCCCAGCGCGTGACGGACTGCACCAGGGGCAACTCTGACGGCAGCCCAGCGCGCCACGGACTGCACCAGGGTCAACTCTGACGGCAGCCCAGCGCGCCACGGACTGCACCAGGGTCAACTCTGACGGCAGCCCAGCGCGCCACGGACTGCACCAGGGGCAGCTCTCGACGGCAGCCCAGCGCGTGACGGACTGCACCAGGGGCAACTCTGACGGCAGACCAGCGCGCCACGGACTGCACCAGGGTCAACTCTGACGGCAGCCCAGCGCGCCACGGACTGCACCAGGGTCAACTCTGACGGCAGCCCAGCGCGCCACGGACTGCACCAGGGGCAGCTCTCGACGGCAGCCCAGCGCGTGACGGACTGCACCAGGGGCAACTCTGACAGCAGCCCAGCGCGCCACGGACTGCACCAGGGACAACTCCGTCGGCAGTCCATCGCGCCACGCGCCACCGAGGCCCGGCCTGGCGGCGCCAGCTCCGATCGAGGCCACCGGTCCAGTGTGGGGGTCGCCCTGGCGGCAGCCGGCCGCTGCGCCCTCGTTACAGACCCGTCCGCGTCTCCGCAAGCCGGTGTGCCCCGGCTGTGGACCGCAGCCGGTCCACAGCTGGGCTTCCGTCCGTGGGGAGGGAGCGCCACAGCCACTGGGAAACGGGGTCTCGCCACTCGCTGACGTCACACCGGCGCCCAGCAGACCGGTGACGCGACGGCCTTCTGCAATGTTTTACGTCACGTACTCGGAACGGTGGCACCAGCAGCCGAGGCTGCCGCGGCTGCCGCGGCGGGGACACGCCGGGGACAGTCCCTCCACTGAAGTGCTGGCCGTCCTCAGTGGCTGGCAGCTGGTAGACTCTGACTCCCGGCGCCCGGCGCGCACGCCGCACGGCCTGCGCCGTGGCCCGGCCGAAGGCGCGGAAATGGACACGAGCCCTAACGACGCCAGTCACGCAGGCCGGCGGCCATCTCCGACTCTAATCGAACGGACGTGTGGAGGCCGACGCGCTGATTGAGTCTGAACACGAGTGGCACGGCAGACGAGAGCGAGGGCGCGCAGCAACGCGCCGAGGCGGCTGCCAACACATCCGACATGGCACCCCAACGGGAGCATCAAGTGTGCACCACTGCCGGGATTGTGTGGACCACTACCGGGATTGTACATAACACAGCCGGGATTGTGTGCAATACAGCCGGGATTGCGTGCGCCACTACCGGGATTGTGTGCAACACTGCCAAGATTGTGTGCGTCACAACCGGGATTGTGTGTTCCACTATCGGGATTCAGTGCCGCCGCGGAGACGACACCGACAACCATGATGGGGGGGGGGGGGGGGGCAGGGGAGAAAAGGCAGACAGATGAGATCTTTTGAGCCAACGACAAAGCACTATACTACGACGGCTGCGAGGCTGCGGCGGCGGCCGGTGTAAAGCGTCGTTTACGAGTTGGCGTGCTCCGAACTGAAGCCGCGAGGGCGAGCAGACAGGGAGCCGCACCGGCCGCCGGAGCCTCCGACGGCCAGACAGGCCGGGTCACGACACGGCGGACGGCAAGCCCCGGAAGGGGCGCGGACCCGCGCGTCACCATCTACGGCGAGCAGCCGCGCCGCCGCCTGTCATCCGGCCATGTTCGTCGGACAACGCGCGGTAACCGGCCCCGAACATGGTGGTCACCGGCGCGCTCGCGCGGACAAAAGGCCGCCGCCGGCCGCCGCGGAGCCTGACCCGCCGGCGACGGTGGCCGCGCTTGACCAGCGGCCCAGCGCTGGACACGCACCGCTAGACCAGCACCAGCTCGCAGCAGAGACGGGAAACACCGCACAGCCACCGACCGGAAGCCAACACCGCTCAGTCTTGAGGTGCGCACTCAGCAGCGGGGATGCAGTGTCACGCAGCGCTGTGACGTCACCGGAGGGCGGCCACCGGAGCGGGCGGCCGTGCGCGGGGCCAGTGACCGTCAGGGTGGCTGGGCCACGGCGGCGACGGTCGGGCCATAACGGCCACTCACTCGGCAGCACCGCGCGGGCTGCGCTTGCGGCTGCGGCTGCGGCGCCAGCGCACTATCGACCGCCGGCGGGGATCGATGGCCGGCGGCCGCTCTGGGCCGGCCGTCGCCGCGCGCTCTCTCACCGCCAGCGGACGTAGACGAACTCGTCATCAGCGCGCAACGAAGACAGCGTCATGCCGCCGGGCGCGGCGCGGCGCGGCGCGGGGCGGGGCGCTCCGGCCGGGGCGGCGCGGTCGGACCGACTGTCGCCGTCGGCCGACGCCGCAGCTGGCGCCGGCACACGCGTCGGGCGGGGGTGCCGAGCGAGCCGCCCGCGCTCCCGGCCGGGCCGGGGGACCGACACAGCCACCGGGTCGACATCCGGCCGGGGCGCGGGCCAGACCGGCACTGCGCCACGCACACTCCAAATATAGCCGGCCGCTCGCATTCCTCAGACGTGTCGACAGTCCCCGCCGCAACCGTAACCCAGTCGCGCCCCGGTCTGCGGCGACGGCCCGGCACGTTCGCCGTCGGTCGCCGCGCGGGCGGCCGATTAAACGGCCACGACTGCTGCTGTGACAACCAGACCCGACCGACGGTGAACGGACACGAGGTCGGCAGAGCGCGGCGCCCGGGCCGGTGTGGACGCCACCGCGCGGTTCGACCAACGACGGAGGTGTTTATGGCCCGCTTCCGGTGGCAGCTGGCGGCCAGAGCGGGCCGAGACGAGCCGGGGCGAGCAGGCCCCGCCCCGGACACCTGCGACCGAGCCCAGCCGGGCCGGACCGGGCCAGGAGGCTACAGACTGCCCGGAGCCGCGCCAACCCTCGCCAGCTGCCCGGACGCGGCTCAGCAGCGCCGGTAAACACCCGGCGCTATCCGGCACAGCGGGAGCAGGGAGGACGCAGGGGCACTTGCGACATCATAGGTAGCAACTCAGATGGGTCCTTTGCCAATGTGGAACACCGCTCTGGACGGTGCGGGCTCGCCGCCCGCTGCCCCGCCCGAAACACTGCTCCGCGTCTCCACCCCGCGTCGGGCCGCGGCCACACGTGCGGCACAAAACACCGCCGTCATCGCCGCCACCTGCGCCAACGCGTCGCGAGCCACAGCGGCGCCGCGCTCCACTCCTCACTCTCACTCGCAGGCGTGGCGCGGACGCCAGCGCGGGCCGCCCACTGACCAGGACATGCGGGCCACGGCGGCCGGCATGAGACGCAGCGCTGACCCGAGCGCGGCACCGAGTCGCGCCCAGCCGCGGCGCCGATCAATCGCCGCCGCCGGCGGCGGCCCGCACGCGCGCCTGCGCCGCCGCCGACGCGCCCGTTCAAACGCCACGAGTCGCCCGGCCGGTCGCCCCCCGACCAGCGGCGCGCTCTCTGTCCGGCAGCCGGCGGCGCCTCGACGATGAGACGGCGGGGCGCGCGAACGGCCTGCGACGGTGACTCACCAGGCGGCGGGTACCACTGCGCCCATTGCGGCGAGCGCCCGAAGGGAGTCCGGCGCGCGCGCGCGCGCGGGTGCGGCCGGCTGCGGCGGCTCGGTGATGGACTGAGGGACCGGCACCGCTACACGGCGCCTGCCGGCCGTGCCGACCGCACCCGGACTGCTCGGCCGGACCGCCGCCGCACGGCCGGCAGCGGAGAGCACGACGGACGCGCCGTGCGGACGGACACCGTGCAGCCTCGCCTGCGCTCGCGGCGATCAGCAGATGGACCCGGGGGGCCGCTGGCGAACTGCACCGCTGCCCGGCGGAGACTGAGGGGGCGGCCACTCCCACGCCAGCTCCGGCCGTGACACGGATCGCCAGAGCGGAGAGCCAGCTCGCGGGGTTGCACGAGCCATCACGCGACGACAGAGGGCGCCGCCCCGGCGGCACCGCGCGCCAGGCAGCCCTGCGGCAGGCAGGCGACGCCGGCGGAGCGGACGGGGAGCGGTGCCGCCGGGCCGGCCGTTCTCGCCGCCCGGAGAGAGCCGACCGCCGCCGCCGCCGCCTGGTCAGGCCTGGATACACGGCGCAACCGACGCGCGCACAGCACCGTGC